AAATAAACATTTTAAAAAAATTAAAAAATTAAAAAAATAAAATAAATAAATAAAAAAGGGAAGGAACAGTCTTCCTCTTCTCTTTTTTCTGATAGGATTTTTGTGGAGAGAACCTGAGGAGGTAGACAGGGTTAGCGGTTGGATCACATCTGTCTTCAGGGAGCATCAATTATCTCTCTCGACACATGGGCTAAAAGGAGGAGGTCTATCAGAAAAGAATTTCTAGGAGAGCCATTAGACTCTAACGTGATCTGACTTTAAGACTGGAAGAAGCAATGATTGAAAAGAACTGGTGTGAGGCAGGTAAACCTGGAAGGAAAATGGTGTCCACCCATCAGGGTTTAGGGAAATTAGGCTAAAGTCTCCACAGTAATCGATGTTGGCACCTTGCCTCAGCAACTAGTGGCCAAATGCTCTCAGAGAGAAATAATTCCTGTTGTAAACTATTTTCTCAGGAATTTGAACCTGTAGGGGATCCCTGCAAGGGAAGTGGAAAATTAAGTTTTAAGATTAATGGGAGGATCCGTGGCCTAGGAGAGGAATATGGAAACCCTTCAGAGAAGACCCTTTTCCTTTCAGGGTTTCAGGGCAGCATACGTAAGACCCAGACTGTAGAACAGAAGCCATAATTTGGAGTGTAGGGAGAGGGACATCAGGACTGCCTTGGGAGGTGTTTGTATGTGCGTGTTTCATTTTCTATTTCAAAAGAAAGCCTCCTGTCAGACCTACTGAATCAAGTTCTTATTCTCTAACCTTTCTACCCCTCTTGCTCCCAGTTGAAAACCACTGTTGTAGATCTCATTCCTGGAGGTTACCATGAGAAACAGATTATGGAAGAGGGTGAGACTGTCCCCACATCTCACACTGCAAGTTTAGGTGGCTGTGTTCCTTCTTTTTGAGTGATTGATTAAGCAGGAAAAGAAATTTAAGACTGTCCTACGTTAAAAATGAGAAGTCTGTGCTCTGAAAACTACTTTTTGCTTTTATGTTGTTACTTTTTCCTTAGTTTTCTAGGGAAAAATCCATTCCTTTGGAACATTCTCACCTTGTCTGAGCTGAACTGTGGAGATCTTGGTCAGGATACATGGGAGAGTAGTGTTCTGAACAGCCAGGGTGGTGGGGACAGGTGGACAGATAGAAGTAAAAACAGGACAAGAAGAGGTGGGGAGTATCATCTAAATTAAAGATTTATGGGGCGCCTGGGTGGCTCTGTCAGTTAAGCAGCTGACATTGGCTCAGGTCATGATTTTGCAGTCCATGAATTCGAGCTCCGTGTCGGGCTCTGTGCTGACAGCTCAGAGCTTGGAGTCTGCTTTGGATTCTGTGTCTCCTTCTGTCTCTCTGTCCCTCCCCTGCTCTCCCTGTCTCTCTCTCTCTCTCTCTCTCTCTCAAGTAAATATTAAAATTTTTTTTAATTAAAAAAAAAAATAAAGATTTCCTTCTTACCTCAGACCAAGAGCCGATGTTTAAGGAAAATGTGAAATTTCTCTTCATTAAGTAATAGTTTTTCTAAAGTATCATGTTTTCAGAGAATATTAATTAGTAGTTTCATTTATAAACCAGTTATTTACATTTACATTTTATTCTTGAAGTACTCAGATACTGTAGCTTGCTACAGTTTGGGGCAGAGTGCTGTGGTAGTAACTTGTTTAGAGTAATCAGTGAATTTGAAGCTAGCTTCTTTTATCATGCAGTTTTGGAAAGATTGAAAAAGGAAAGATAAACATAATTTGGCACTGTATAAAAGTCTTACTTTCAAATTTATCACTAGTATATGTTTTCCTCCTTTGGTCCTCAGATTATGAACAGTTATAAAGAAGAGATTGGAGGTACATTTAAAAATGATAGGCATCGGGGCACCTGGGTGGCTCTGTCGGTTAAGCAACTGACTCTTGGTTTTGGCTCAGGTCGTGATCTCGCGGTTTATGGGTTCGAGCCCCACGTTGAGCTCTGCTCTGGCAGCACGGGGCCTGTTGGGGATTGTTTGTCTCCCTCTCTCTGCCCCTCTGCTACTTGTGCTCTGTCTCCCTCTCTCAAAATAAATAAACATTTAAAAAATATAAATAATAAAAACGATTGACACCTTCGGGCTCCTGGCTGGCTCAAACTATAGAGTGTGCTACCCTTGATCTTGGGGTTGTGAGTTTGAGCCCCATGTTGGGTTTAAAGATTATTTAGAAATAAATTTAAAAAAAAGGAATGATAAGCACCTTGCAGAAGCAGTTTAAAGCACAATTTTTATTAGAAATCTTTTTTTTTAAATCCCAACTATGAATTTCATATTTATCAGAAAAGAAGCCTGTCAGCAGGTGCAAGTTCTTACAGCCATCTAGTTCTTAGATATGAGGCATTTATTAGAACATTATCTCTTCCCATATATTCAGGGTACTCTTTCCTAGACTGATATCCTACTCTAAGGTCAAGAAAGTATACAGTAAGCTACCTGGTGCTGTAGCTTTGACAATAAACCATTTCATCAAAAGCAAAATATATAACAAATGTGGCTAATTTCTTGTTTGTTTCTTTCTCCTCATATAAGTCCAGTTTATTCTGCTTCCCAGAGCCATTGTCCTGTATCCTAAGCTGGGGACTGTGTTCTTTCTTGTTTTCTGTGTGGGGCTGGTCACCTATTGTGCAGGAGCAGTGTACTTAACTAAAATCAGGGCTCTGTTTTTATAAGCGTGGCAAATCATGAACCATCTAAAGCAGAATTCTCTTTTAAACAATTTCAAGTTTGTCCACAATGAAACCAAGAACGAATTGGAGAAGATGTTGAAGTGTAACGAGGAGCACCCGGCATATCTCGCAAGCGATGAGATAACCACAGTGCGAAAGAACCTGGAATCCCGAGGGGTAGAAGTGGACCCAAGCTTGGTAATAAATATTGCGGAAAAGCCTGAACTTACTTCCTTAATCTTTGTTCTTGCGGTAAAATGTTGCTACTTCTCACATGTTACTCGGATATAGAAGTGCTTGACCTGACTTGGGTCACGTGTACTTTTGCTGACAGTAAAAACAGTCACTTTGGTTGTGTACAGAGTAGAGATTTATTCTTGGTGGTGTTTTCTTACGGGTAATACTTTAATTTGTAATGAGGAGTTTGAGACTTGGAAAAGTGAAGTACCTGGGCATGTTCAGCAGTTAGCTCTTGCAAAAGGAGGTGAAGCCCAGTCACATCTCTGCACCACGTTACGCTGTTTCAGATTGCAAAATAGAAGTTCTGCTTCAGTGTGTTTCATTTATATATATATGTTTTCTCTGTCAAATGTACCTTAATCAGGGACGCTGGGTGGCTCAGTCGGTTGAGTGTCTGACTCTTGATTTCAGCTCTGGTCATGATCCCAGCGTGGTGGGATCAAGCCCCATGTCAGGCTCCACACTGAGTGTGGAGCCTGCTTGAGATTTTCTCTCTCTGTCTCTGCCCCTCTGCTGCTCACTCGCTCTCTCTCTTAAAAAAAAAAAAAAAAAAAAAAAAAAAAGTGCCTTAATCAGGTATGAGTGGATTTAGAAAAAATGTGAATGTTAAGTTTGTATTAAATTGAGTAGTGCCTTGGGGTTCTATCTCATTTTCCTCACATCATCATCATAAATATGAGAATAAAAATAATTACAGACTATGTTTTGCTTATTTTCATGATGCTTATTTGGGGAAGATTTGAAAAAAATAACTGTTTCTGGGCCTGTGTACCCCAGTTAGAGTGTAAGGGATTAAAACCTCATTTTAAGGGGCGCCTGGGTGGCTCAGTCAATTGAGCGTCCAACTTTGGCTCACATCACGATCTCACAGTTTGTGGGTTCGAGACCCGCATCAGGCTCTGTGCTGACCTCTTGCTCAGGGCCTGGAGCCTGCTTCAGATTTTGTGTCTCCTTCTCTCTCTGCCCCGCCCCCCGCTCACACTTTGTCTCACTCTGTTTCTAAAAAATAAATAAATGTTAAAAAAAATTAAAAAATAAAAATAAAACCTTATTTTAATATTAGCTTAAGTTAACTTAGTGAAACCCAATTAGAAAAATAATTCTAAGAGGGAAAACAATCATATAAGAAGTTTCAGAGCCACACAGAAGTTCTTTTAAAGATTATCTACTATTTATATTTTTGCACTTGAGAAATGAGTATATTTAATTTAAATTCCCCAGGAGGTCAGAACAAGAAAACTGGTAAAACTCAAAGCAAGTTAAAGCTGTTACATGTAGCATTATTTGTAAATAGAAAATGAAATTAAAACTAATGATTACATGAAATTATTAGTTGAATATGAATTTAATTTATCCATCCTTGGACTTTGCCTGCATATTAGGATATGGATTGGCTGTATATATTGACTTTCTCTGAGCAAGAAAATCTCAGCCCTTTTTCCAAGAGACATTTTGTTCTTCCAGTGCACTTGATGAAGCTATAAAATAGATAACAAGATAATTATGACAAACATAGCAGATGGACTACTGTCAGAGATGTGAATTCTAGCGCAGTTCCATCCCATTCGCTAGTAATACTGACATCATCTCTGAGCTTCCACTTTCCTCTGTGTTACATAGCGTTGATTGTACTGGTTGTACCTGCGTACGATTATTACTGGTCTACTTAGAAAAGACGCTTGCAAGAACCTTGAACACTTTGACAAACTACGTAATAATGACACAGCAGGAGTCATTTTGCTATGGTAACAGCAAGATGTAGTGATCAGAAAGGAAATAACTGTTGGGTTGATGGTCTGAGACCAGCTTCCTAGTCCTGACTCTGTCCTTAGATAAGGCTCACAACCTCTTTTTCCTTGGGGCCCCTTACCTCTAACTAGGGGCGGTAATAATCCCAACCCTATCTACTCTACAGAATGATTATTTGAATGTAATAACAACAGTTGTTAAAAACACTACATATTTGGAAGTATATAAACTGGTAAGGGGTCAGAGTAGTGGTAAATCTAATCTTTTGTCTTAAAAAAATATTTTTCTTAATGGGTAAAAATGATTGGTAGAATAACACTGCCACTAGTTTTAATTAACTTTTTTATAAATAAACTTCGTGGATGACTTTTCAGAATGTGTTTGGTCAACCTGAGGGGAGTGTACAGTAACTCTTTGGTTTTGTTTTCTTCCTTCATTTTAGATTAAAGATACTTGGCACCAAGTTTATAGAAGACATTTCTTGAAAACAGCTCTAAACCATTGTAACCTTTGTCGAAGAGGCTTTTACTACTACCAAAGGCATTTTGTAGATTCTGAGGTAAAGTGTCTAAAAACCAGGGAAAATGCTTTTAGTGATGGTTGTTTGGATGCTTGAAAGTTAACTATAGCTTTAGCATTAGTTTTAAGTCTTTTGATCTGCTGGGAAAAAGTATATATGATTTATGTCTGAAGAATAACCTAACTCCTATCTTTTCTAAGGTTTTTACCACTTTATATTTTACACACAATAAGATTTTGTGTGCAGAGAACAGGCACTAACCCAGTTAATTTTTTTTTTTTTTTAAGAATTAACTTTTTTGTATTAGAAAATAACACATTCTTGTTGTGGAAATACAGTAAAGAAATGTAAAAGAAAATTGCAAAGGGAAATAGTCACTTACTAATATTCCTTATTAAGGAATAAGTCACTTATAATCCCCTGACCTAGAAGTAATTTTAGTTAACATTTTTATATGTCTGTTAATCTTTATAGTTGTGCATGTGTATAACATAATCCATTTGCATAGTGGACATCATCCTGAAAAAACAGCTTTTATTGTGCTTTTTCCTATATTGTATTTCTTTATATCACCAAAATCTTTAAATAATTCTTTGAAAGAAGTGTATGAAGTTGTACAGTGTAATGTCATGTTTCACAAAGTAACCGCTAGGTGGCAGCAGACTGATGTATTTTGAGCATTTTCTTGTAAGTAGAAGTGCTCTGAAAGAACTCTATTAGTGATCAAAGGCCCCTAAAATGCTTTTGAGTTTTCTACAGCTTAAAGGAAATTTGTATGTAACTATACCTATGTAAAAAATGGCAAGTGTTTTGCGTAATTTAATCGTTGAGAAGACCTCTCTACAGAATAAGCTCTTTTTGAAGCATATCATTAATTTATTTTTATCTACAAGCTGCATTTCAGAACTGGCTTGCATGCGTGCTCGAAGAAAAGAGGTTAACCTAAGGACATATTTAAGCTAACATGGTTGTTAGCGGAAACTAAATACAAATTAAGGGTATATGCTGTGAATTTCCACTTGTATATAATGTCATGAAATTCTCTACTTCCCAGATTCATTTGCTTTGTCCTCGGAATCAAAACAAAGCTATATAGGAGTGAGGTAAATTGAATGCAAATCACGTGGAAGTTCGTGAACCCTGAGCAGAAATGATTCGGTGGCTTCTATCTGCGATAGGAGTACGTGTATTAGATAAATCTGAGGTTTTTTGTTAAAGCTTAGGGTATAGGTATTAACTTTAGTAGTCAGTCGTATGTGTTTGTGATCATGGTTTTCACTTTTAAATTTGCATCTGGTAATCTTACTGACCTAATATTTTAGTTGGAATGCAATGATGTTGTCCTGTTCTGGCGAATACAACGCATGCTTGCCATCACTGCAAATACTTTGAGGCAGCAACTTACGAACACTGAAGGTAAGCCACAGAGGGACCACTTTCTAACTTTGACAGCAAAAATAATAGTAGTAATATTCATTTAATAGAATGATGCCAAGATACTTCTTTAAAAATAGGTTTATTAGAACAATTGAAAATTAAATCTGCCCTGAAAATATGAGTGAAAGTAAGTCATAATTGGGAAAGATGGGAGATAAAACGTACCAAGAGTCTCCCCTCATGACACAAAAATTCTGTTAGAAAAGGACTCCTAAGCTTCACGTAGTTTTTGGGGGAGAAACCTGCACTTCCATTAAAGAGTTAGGGCTTAAGAATATGACCGTCTCTGAGAATTGTATTAGTTTTATGCTGATAAAAGTATTATATGAGAAGTAAAGATTCTCCCTGTAACTGTGGGAAGTTTGAACTTAATAGATCAAACTCGATGAGAAAAATAAGAACTTACCCTCCAAATACTGCTAATTTTATCATCCTTGTGCATTCATTAGAAACACAGCTCCTCAAGTTTTTGTTTACTTTGAATAGTCAGGCGATTAGAGAAAAATGTGAAAGAGGTATTGGAAGATTTTGCTGAAGACAGCGAGAAGAAGGTAAAACTGCTCACTGGCAAACGAGTTCAGCTGGCTGAAGACCTCAGTAAGTGGTTCTTCCTGCCCTCTACCTTCCTGCCTTTTCTCCTTCCCCATTTCCATTATTTGTTCATCCAGTTACTCTCAAACTATAGAAATGTGCATGCAAAGAACATTTTTTCCACTGACTGTTTGAGAGAAAGGTGCTAACTCATAGCCCCATCACTTGCAGTACTTTAATGTGTGTTTCTTAGAAACCAAGGTTTCTCATAGCAGCCGTAATGCAACCATCAGAATCAGGATGTTGACACTGATCGGTTACTGCGTCTAATCTTCAGACCCTGTTCAAGTGTCGTGTGTTGTCCTGATACTGTCCTTCCGTGTAACAAGATGTTCTGTGCTCATCCTGTACTTTGATCCAGCTTCCTTGCTTTGCAGAATAGTAGTTAGAAATTAAGAGCTGGGTCCTAGGAATGCTCATTGTCATTGGACTATCACTGCTCCCAGACCCTCTCAGTGGAAGGAGCTGGGGAGCAGATGCTGTATGCATTCGTGCGTGTGCGCGCACGTGTGCGTACATGTGCAGATGCACGTCCGCACGTTTACGCCTGTATTCCTAATCACATGTATACGTCTATGTTGAAAGCCGTAAGTTGTCACTGGTACTTTCCATTTTAATTCAGTAATACAGGGTTCATTGTTTTTTTCTCCTTTTGCTGACAATGAGAAATCTGGCTCCAAGTATCCTTAATATATTTACTTACTTTGATCAGTCTCCCTATATGTAACGAAACTTGTCACCGTCCCCTTCATTGCACAGGCATCCTTCTCACCCAGCTCAGGCTCTGATCACCCAACTCCAGGCCACCACCACAGCACCTCACCCTGTGTTGACACCCTTTTTACCTCATCCAGGCTCTGATACCCCATGCCACGTTGCCCTTCACAGAGTCCTTTTTACTGAGCTCATGCACTGGCATCGTGTGCCAGGCATGTCCCCCTTTATCCTTCCCACGTCTTCCCCTGCCCAAGGACACCCTCCTCACCAGAAGCCAGGTCCTGCTTTTTTTAGAGGACGCCCTCTTCATCCTATGTGTGCTCCAGTACCCTGCACCAGACTGGACTGCCCTCCTCCACAGATACTCTCCTCACTACCAGGCCAGGCCACTGGTACCCCCATGTGAACACCCTCTTCGCCCGGCTCAGGTTCTAACACCTCCACTAGGCCCACAGGGCTTTCCCCTCTCACCACCGCTCCCACATCTCCAGCCTAGCTTGGCCTTACTGATCACTTTGTCACTTAGTTTGTGGGGGATGTTTGGTTCTTTCCTGAATGCTAGTGCAGTCCTAGTTTTCAGGTACTTGGATTACATATTGAGATTTACTTAGATCCTTGAGAACCCAAGGAAATCCGTGAAAGAGTTATGTTAAACAAACATAAAAATACTGAGGTTGGTGCTTCTGTCTGAGCTTACTTCGTTACAGGTTTCCCTTATGTAATTTCATGAAACAAAGTATTTTTCCTTTCAACGTATGCTTAAATTTACTGTCTTAGGAGTTTTCTGATATCTAAGAGAAAGCAGATACTAAATAGGAAGAAATTCTTCAAATTTGAAAACTGTTTCTAAACTGAATTTATGTCACTATAATACCCTAGAGTACCTGAGAGAAACCAGTGGTTTTCCTGTTTAATACCCTGCGACTCAGCCACATGCACTCCACCACTGTCTCGTCCCTTTCTCTGTGACCTCAGCACGTCGTTTGCTCTCTTTTCTCTCCTTTCTGCCTTTAAATAATCTTGTATTCGAAATGTATCTCATTTTAGCTCTCATTTCCACTTTCTGTTCCTTTTCTTCTGGTTCTTTTCATGCCACATTGTCCAAATAATTCAGTTTGTGCTAGCTTATAGATCTGTGTTGGAATGTGATCTGCCCTTCACTAGCTATATTATCTCAGGCAGGATATCTGTCAGAGCCTTAGCCTCTTTGTTTGTAAAAAACACTCCAATAGTTACTATATTGCTAGGAGGGTTTTGAGGAGAATTAGTTCAAAAACCCCTTGCAAGTCCCTGCTTCACAATTTTATGCCGCATTAGTGCTGTTACAGGAAGAGGTGTGTCAGTGTTGCAAGGTGTACAAATATATTTCTTTTGTATCCCCCTGGACATGGTTATCAGACAGTGAAATACTTCACTGTATTTTACCAGCATATATAATTGTGAGTGATTAAAAACAGTGGGTCTTTTCTCACGTCTTGTAATAGAGCCTTATATAACCCCATTACGTTCCAGTCCCGGTTTGATTACTTGAAGAAAGTGTATTGCTAACACAGATTTGTGCACTGTCAAGCCAAGTCTTAGATTATCCTGCTGGTTTTCCTGAGAAAGTACTCATATGACTCCCTTGAAGTGATTTACTACTTTTGTACATATAAAATTATGGTCATGTTAATGTACCAAATAATGGCCTTGGAAGCAAGTGTTTCACCAGTGACTCGGCTTCATCATTCACACTGAAGGAGATGAGCCATGACTTTGTCTATTAGTTGGAGAAGAATCTTGGGAGTACCTTTCCCATACTGTTTATCTTTAATGTAACACTTGGGAATATGATCAGGGATCCTTTCAGCCAGAAAACTTTCAAAGTTTGGACAGTAACTACTGTATTACTTGGATCAAAGTTTTTAGTACAGCATATTCAAGTGGAATATATAGTTAACGGAATTCAGAGAAAGGGAAGCAGCCAAAAGAGTTTTTACTACAATTTCAAATCAGTACAGGGGCAGAGTATTGTGGAGACTCGGGAAAGTTTGATGCATCGTATTTTTTGCCAGTGTTATTAAATAAATGTGCTCAGTTTTAAATCATTTCACCACTTTCCTTTGGAAATTCATCAACTGATTGTCCTGAGTTAGGAAGACCAAAGAAGTGAAAGAAGAGCCCACCCCTTCTTGTCTGTAGAAAAGAAGTCGTATGTAGGGACCAGGGCTCTTTGGAGATGTAGTGGAATCCACAGCTGGAGCAAGAAAACGTTAGGATGAACCTGGAGCTTCCTAAGATGAGAAAGTAAGAAAGTACATGAAGGGAGATGGGAACATGGCAGCAAGGCAGAGAAGCCAGCTTGAAAAGGCTCCCGCTGGCTACAACTAGGACAATTTGGGCATCAAAATAAATAATCACAGGTACAGACTGTGACCCATTTAATAAAACAGGATTCTATAAATTGATGATTGTGTAAGCAAATGAATAAAATTAATTATATCAGTGAGTAAAACCAGTGATAAGGAATGCGGTGTTCATATAAGCACACAAAGTATCTCCACACAGAATAATTAAAAGAGGAAAAAGTAACTGTACAGTGGAGAAGGCTGGCAACAACCAGCTTAATCAAGCCGTCAGAGTTGTTATTATCAGTTACCGCCAAATCAGAACTGTGTGCAGCCTTCCAGAATGCAGTGGGAAAAACCCATATCACTCCTTGGATATTTGTGCCAAAGATGTATAACTTAAATCTAATCATAAAGGTATATCAGACAAACCCAGATTGAGGCACAGTCTATATAATAATTGGCCTGTAATCTTCAAATGTATCAAGATCATGAGAAACAAGGAAATCGTGAGGAACTATTCCAGGTCGAAAGAGCATGGAAACAAAATGCAATGTGTGATCCTGAACCTGACCTTGTTGCTCTAAAGGACATTAATGGGACGGTTGGCAAAACTTGAATGAGATCTGAAGGTTCCATGGTAGCAATACATCAGCGTTAATTTTTAAATCTTGATTGTTAAATTGGGATTATTTAGGAAAATATCTTTATTTGTAGCTAATACACAATAATACAGTATTTAGGGTATATGGGATGTAATGACAGTAAATTATTCAGAAAAAATATGTTCTATGTAGTATTCTTACAGCTTTTCTCTGAGTCTGAGATGATTTTTACATAAAAAGGGTAAAAAGTTGTTTTTATAACTGGATTTGTTTATATAAATATATCATGGTCATATGAAAATAATTTAGAGAAAATTAGAATTTTTTAAATGGGATCTCTGAATATGTCAAAAGGCTGAGTTACTTCCTGGACAGTTTGATAAAAGACATGACTCATCTTTCCACCTAAATTCCTTATTTACAGCATCAGATTACACTTAGAACTGTTTAGTGTTGAAATATGCCCACTACAACCTTGATGAAATTCTTGTGATTTTATATAGCAGATTTTATTTCAAAGGATTTTTTATAGATATTTAAATACAGTGTCAACTTAGATAAAATCTATTTGGGTTAATAATATGTTCAATCTACTTATTGAAACAGACTGCAGTTTTAAAATGCCTTCTTTGAAGAGGGGAGGATTAGAATAGTATATAGCTCAGTTCCAAGTTTTTCTTTCTATAATGAGCTGTTTTATGATTTGTGAAATCTTTTATGATTGTCACCATATAAAACAAGTGATAGTGCTAGCGTCTCACAGACATTTTGGAATTTGTTCATCCCACCCTGGAAATGGAGTATCTGGGCACTGGTAACAATTGCTGTAATGTTGCTAAACTGCATTTCACCAAAACAGCATGGAAATTCTTTCATCGTTTGTTATATGAATGTTGTACCAACTGTTAACTAGGGTAGTGTGAGTTTTGGACCTTCCTATCAATTGCTTGGGATTTAGAGCTTAGTTTTCTTTTTAAATTCTTGTTCACTAAAGCCTGAATTACTTTTCATTCTCTGTGCACATAATCAAAGAACCCTTGATACCCAAGAATTAAAGGGGCATTACAAATCATTTCGATCGCTCTAAGATCTACGGTCTTTCCCTTCTGACTTTACAATACATTTCTTTTCATTTTTATATCAGAACCTGTTTATATCAGAAACTGTTTATGAATGTGAGCTAATATTTGAATACTTTCGCTGTGCCGGGATTAGGCTGTGTGCCTTATATGCATTCTCATAGGTATAGTCATTTGTCTTATTTTATAGATAAGGATATGGAAGATTTGAGTCCAGGTCTTTTAACTACTGTGCTGAACTAATTTGAGAAAAAAAACTCAAGCCATAGAAAAATATA